AAGCTGATAAGTGAAAGGTTGAATATTGAACGTGGGAAAAACCAGTAAAAAGCAGATGTGTCCCAAATAACAATACAACAAACCCAAAGAACTGTCCCAAAGCAGTAAATAAAAAATTAGAAACTTGAGAAACATTGCAATTGTATCAAGTTGATGCTAAACCAGGAAATGGATAAACGATTACTATTATTGAAATAAACGCATTCAATCCCACATATATTTTGTGATAACTCTACGAAATCATTGACCTGGGTGTTTATTGATGACAATCTTTTGTCCTTCCGCTTTAGTCTGGTCTGAGGTGAGTGTCTCGGATTGAGGTTGGTTAGCCCCCCCTCCCTTGAACCTCGAGAAATGCTCCTATACAAATATGCGTCTCAAACAGTTTCTGCCGAGGAAGCCCTAATCACTGCCTTCCCCTAGTGGAGGTGTTTTACCACCAAAATGAGAGGACAAAAATCCTAAATTCAGGACTATAAGCGTGTCGGTGAACCACTGGCAGTTCACCAACGGGGATTGACTAAAAACCCTGATTTCAAACCAATCAAGAGGCGCACGAACCACAAACACGCACACACCTTGGTTGTGGCAATGGCCACCAGCTCGACAGGGCAGCGAGGTCTATTGAGCACCTAAGACGATTGACCTCGTCCAAAGGACATATGATCCGATGAACTGGACACCGGCCTCCAATGGAACGCCGTTTTTCGTACACTGCCCCGCTGCCTTGCTTTAGCTAACCGAAGGCTTCGATTGTGAATTCCCTGAGAAAATTCATTTACCGTATCCTGGGAAACCTGAAAGTATTTCGCCCACAAACAAATCGCGGAACTTTTTCCTTTTTACATAGATTACTGTACTGTTATTTGTTTGGTACACAGTGTGTGAAATACAATACACCTGTATTACACACATGCACACACTAGTGCGAACACTTCCCCTCGCCTCTTCATTATCTATCATTGTGTGATGAACAGCAGAATGGTTAAACTCCACAGTCACGAGGATCTAGTTACTGTTCATTCATGAAAGCCAGCTTTTGGGGCTGGATACGGTGAACCATATGTGGCAACGAAAATAGGCGAGGTGTTGAGCTAGGTGGGGGTGGTGCTGTGGCGGGGTTCGGAACTTCGATCCTGAGGCCCGTAAAGCATAATTGTGGCAGACTTAAACCGCTTGACGATCACGATCACGAGTTTAATAACTCACAGCCAGTTGGTGGTATTGATTAGTTTTTGGTTTTACACAGTAAACCGACGTTAATCTACGATTATTCGAAGTGCACAACCGATAGAGTTCGCAGCTCGAATTACGAACTTTACCTCAAGCATAATAGTTCTTTAACCTCAGTAGTGTGAACATAATCCGATTACATTACGCCGGTAGGCCTCTCCGTGTGAACATAATCATGGAGGAAAAAATCACAAGTTCCAGTTTATCGAGAATAGTGCTGATTGTCACTATGTTCTTCAATAATCATTTTCGATTGGAATATATTCGTTCATTGTATCGCAGCGATTGCCTCCTATCACCTCACAGTCCGTATCGATATCCAGATCAGTATTCCCTTTTTCTCCACGGTTTTTTCTGAATTCGAGCAGGCCACTCTTGGTATTTTCCACCCCTGCTGTCATTCTGGAATGCACGATTGATAAATTTTGCACGATTAAAAAAAGGACTTTTTGATCAGCTATGTTCAACAAGTCAAATATCGGTACTGTTCACTTTTTTAATTTTACTTCATTTTTATTGAATACACAATGTTCATGAAGGGGGAAGCGGCCAATCAAAGGGCTGCCATGGGGAAAGTCAGGCGGTGGTGTTGGGGTTCGAACACACGTCCCCCGAAGTGATAATTTGGTGACGTTACCACCGCCTATTTGTGAATAGTGCACAAAGATCAAAAATAATCCACAACTCTTCGAGCGAATTGCCGTGTTCAAAATAATAACCACGGCCAGTTCCATTCGCATACATACTACAAGATGTCAGATTTGGAACCAGTCTTCAGAATTCCCACAAGCACACAGGATAATGAATGGAAAGGTCCGATATTAGATGTGCATTTCCCGTAGTTACCATTTTGAACACAGTACTTCACTCTAAAAGGTCTTGTTTATTTTGACAGTTCTTTTGCTCAAACCAAACGCAGTACTCGGAACACTATTCTACAAATGCAACCACTAAACTCCGGTAAGAAAATTCCTCACAAAAACCTCTTTTCAGAATTTTACGTCGGCATATTTCACAAATGCACCATGGGAAACAGAGAAAACACACAAGCACGCACACAAACTTACCATTTGATGATGGATAGAAGACGATATCGGGCTGTGACATAAACAGTACGTTCGTTCGAGCGCACAGCTTGGACCACACGACGAGCACAGTATTCCGAGTTGACGATGGGGAACAACCACTGTCGTCTGCAAATAAAATATAGGAGGTAATCACACTTTAAATTTGGGCAAATGTGTCAGGAAAAGCGCCGAACCAGCTAAAAGCAATAAACAGTGGCTAA